CGAGTGCTAAGGAAGCGCATGGATCCCTGTAGGCGTAGGGAACAGCATCCAACGACCCGAATGTTGTTGCGTATTCGGGTGGCCCAAGTTCAAATACACCTACCAGAGCAACTTCAGCTTGGTTCGCGCGCACAGAAAAGTTCGGCGCCCGCGATGACGGCCGTGCCGACCGACGAGTGCTAAGGAAGCGCATGGATCCCTCTAGGCATAGGGAACAGCATCCAACGACCCGAATGTTGTTGCGTACTCGGGTGGCCCAAGTTCAAATACACCTACCAGAGCAACTTCAGCTTGGTTCACGCGCACAGAAAAGTTCGGCGCCCGCGATGACGGCCGTGCCTGCCGACGAGTGCTAAGGAAGCGCATGGATCCCTGTAGGCGTAGGGAACAGCATCCAACGACCCGAATGTTGTTGCGTATTCTGGTGGCCCAAGTTCAAATACACCTACCAGAGCAACTTCAGCTTGGTTCGCGCCCACGTTCAAATACACCTACCAGAGCAACTTCAGCTTGGTTCGCGCGCACAGAAAAGTTCGGCGCCCGCGATGACGGTCGTGCCGGCCGACGAGTGCTAAGGAAGCGCATGGATCCCTCTAGGCGTAGGGAACAGCATCCAACGACCCGAATGTTGTTGCGTATTCGGGTGGCCCAAGTTCAAATACACCTACCAGAGCAACTTCAGCTTGGTTCGCGCGCACTGAAAAGTTCGGCGCCCGCGATGACGGCCGTGCCTGCCGACGAGTGCTAAGGAAGCGCATGGATCCCTGTAGGCGTAGGGAACAGCATCCAACGACCCGAATGTTGTTGCATACTCGGGTGGCCCAAGATCAAATACACCTACCAGAGCAACTTCAGCTTGGTTCGCGCGCACTGAAAAGTTCGGCGCCCGCGATGACGGCCGTGCCTGCCGACGAGTGCTAAGGAAGCGCATGGATCCCTGTAGGCGTAGGGAACAGCATCCAACGACCCGAATGTTGTTGCGTATTCTGGTGGCCCAAGTTCAAATACACCTACCAGAGCAACTTCAGCTTGGTTCGCGCCCACGTTCAAATACACCTACCAGAGCAACTTCAGCTTGGTTCGCGCGCACAGAAAAGTTCGGCGCCCGCGATGACGGCCGTGCCGGCCGACGAGTGCTAAGGAAGCGCATGGATCCCTCTAGGCGTAGGGAACAGCATCCAACGACCCGAATGTTGTTGCGTATTCGGGTGGCCCAAGTTCAAATACACCTACCAGAGCAACTTCAGCTTGGTTCGCGCGCACTGAAAAGTTCGGCGCCCGCGATGACGGCCGTGCCTGCCGACGAGTGCTAAGGAAGCGCATGGATCCCTGTAGGCGTAGGGAACAGCATCCAACGACCCGAATGTTGTTGCATACTCGGGTGGCCCAAGATCAAATACACCTACCAGAGCAACTTCAGCTTGGTTCGCGCGCACTGAAAAGTTCGGTGCCCGCGATGACGGCCGTGCCTGCCGACGAGTGCTAAGGAAGCGCATGGATCCCCATAGAAGTAGGGAACAGCATCCAACGACCCGAATGTTGTTGCATACTCGGGTGGCCCAAGTTCAAATACACCTTTCAGAGCAACTTCAGCTTGGTTCGCTCGCACTGAAAAGTTCGGCGCCCGCGATGACGGCCGTGCCGGCCGACGAGTGCTAAGGAAGCGCATGGATCCCTCTAGGCGTAGGGAACAGCATCCAACGACCCGAATGTTGTTGCATACTCGGGTGGCCCACGTTCAAATACACCTTCCAGAGCAACTTCAGCTTGGTTCGCGCGCACTGAAAAGTTCGGCGCCCGCGATGACGGCCGTGCCGGCCGACGAGTGCTAAGGAAGCGCATGGATCCCTCTAGGCGTAGGCAACAGCATCGAACGACCCGAATGTTGTTGCATACTCGGGTGGCCCACGTTCAAATACACCTTCCAGAGCAACTTCAGCTTGGTTGGCGCGCACTGAAAAGTTCGGCGCCCGCGATGACGGCCGTGCCTGCCGACGAATGCTAAGGAAGCGCATGGATCCTTGTAGGCGTAGGGAAAAGCATCGAACGACCCGAATGTTGTGGCATATTCGGGTGGCCCACGTTCAAATACACCTACCAGAGCAACTTCAGCTTGGTTCGCGCGCACAGAAAAGGTCGGCGCCCGCGATGAAGGCCGTGCCAGCCGACGAATGCTAAGGAAGCGCATGGATCCCTGTAGGCGTAGGGAAAAGCATCGAACGACCCGAATGTTGTGGCATATTCGGGTGGCCCACGTTCAAATACACCTACCAGAGCAACTTCAGCTTGGTTCGCGCGCACAGAAAAGGTCGGCCCCCGCGATGAAGGCCGTGCTTGCCGACGAATGCTAAGGAAGCGCATAGATCCCTGTAGGCGTAGGGAAAAGCATCCAACGACCCGAATGTTGTGGCTTATTCGGGTGGCCCACGTTCAAATGCACCTACCAGAGCAACTTCAGCTTGGTTCGCGCGCACAGAAAAGGTCGGCCCCCGCGATGACGGCCGTGCCTGCCGACGAATGCTAAGAAAGCGCATGGATCCCTGTAGGCGTAGGGAAAAGCATCCAACGACCCGAACGTTGTGGCATATTCGGGTGGCCCACTTTCAAATACACCTACCAGAGCAACTTCAGCTTGGTTCGCACGCACAGAAAAGGTCGGCGCCCGCGATGACGGCCGTGCCTGCCGACGAATGCTAAGGAAGCGCATGGATCCCTGTAGGCGTAGGGAAAAGCATCCAACGACCCGAATGTTGTGGCATATTCGGGTGGCCCACGTTCAAATACACCTACGAGAGCAACTTCAGCTTGGTTCGCGCGCACAGAAAAGGTCGGCGCCCGCGATGACGGCCGTGCCTGCCGACGAATGCTAAGGAAGCGCATGGATCCCTGTAGGCGTAGGGAAAAGCATCCAACGACCCGAATGTTGTTGCATATTCGGGTGGCCCACGTTCAAATACACCTACCAGAGCAACTTCAGCTTGGTTCGCGCGCACAGAAAAGGTCGGCGCCCGCGATGACGGCCGTGCATGCCGACGAATGCTAAGGAAGCGCATGGATTCCTGTAGGCGTAGGGAAAAGCATCCAACGACCCGAATGTTGTTGCATATTCGGGTGGCCCACGTGCAAATACACCTATCAGAGCAACTTCAGCTTGGTTCGCGCGCACAGAAAAGTTCGGCGCCCGCGATGCCCGCCGTGCCTGCTCACAAATGCAAAGGAAGCGCATCGATCCCTATAGGCGTAGGGAAAAGCATCAAACGACCCGAATATTGTTGCATATTCGGATGGTCCATGTTCAAATACATCTACCAGAGCAACTTCAGCTTGGTTCGTACGCACAGAAAAGTTATGCGCCCGCGATGACGGTCGTGCCTGCTCACAAATGCTAAGGAAGCGCATGGATCCCTATAGGCGTAGGGAAAAGCATCCAACGACCCGAATGTTGTTGCATATTCGGGTGGCCCATGTTCAAATACAACTACGAGAGCAACTTCAGCTTGGTTCGCACGCACAGAAAAGTTCGGTGCCCGCGATAACGGCTGTGCCTGCCCACAAATGCTAAGGAAGCGCATGGATCCCTATAGGTGTAGGAAAAATGAACCAAAGACCCGAATGTTGTTGCATATTCGGGTGGCCCCTATTCAAATACACCTACCAGAGCAACTTGAGCTTGGTTCGCGCGCACAGAAAAGTTCGACGGCCGTGCCTGCCCACAAATGCTAAGGAAGCGCATGGATCCCTATAGGCCTAGGGAAAAGCATCTAACGACCTGAATATTGTTGCATATTTGGGTGGCCCATGTTTAAATACACCAATCAGAGCAACTTCAGCTTGGTTCTCGCGCACAGAAAAGTTCGGCGCGCGAGATGACGGCTGTGCCTGCCGACAAATGCTAAGGAAGCGCATGGATCCCTATAGGTGTAGGAAAAATGAACCAAAGACCCAAATGTTGTTGCATATTCGGGTGTCCCATGTTCAAATACACCTACCAGAGCAACTTCAGCTTGGTTCGCGCGCACAGAAAAGTTCGACGGCCGTGCCTGCCCACAAATGCTAAGGAAGCGCATGGATCCCTATAGGCGTAGGGAAAAGCATCTAACGACCTGAATATTGTTGCATATTTGGGTGGTCCATGTTCAAATTGTTATATGATGCTATCACTTGCATTCACATCTGTCTGCCTCCCATCACATGTTCGTGCGTTGCATGCGTGGTGAGAGCGCGTGCAAGAATTTGTGTTTGATGTGGTCTGGATTTTCTGAGTGTGTGTGAATGTTATTTGACTTGAGCAGATATCTGAAGTGACTCCTCTGCTCAAGAGCTTTCCGTCGAGCCAAGTATCGCTTCAATTGGAGCACGAACAAGAAATTTACGAACATTTGAAGTTCGTATGCTTTTGATATTTGGTTGTGGTGACTATGGGAAGTTGTGGGGTTGACTCCATAAGGGGTATAGACTTTTGGGGGTTGGGAAATTCGTCCCCATCACTGTAGATGCTGCCAAGTGGTTGGGAGAAACCAAGTTGGGTTGGCAAGTGTGGCCAACTTGGGTGAGGTGGATTGTGGAGGTTGGGAAAGTGACAAATGTCAAAGTTGGGGTTGCCTATGGAGAGGGGAATTGTGTGGCATGGGGTTTCCTTGGTTGGGGACTCTCTTGAGACCTTCCCTCTCGTCCTCCTCATCCCCTCCCACCTGGTTTCTAGCTACTCTAACTCTCTTGCGTAGGAATTGTGGAAATTGTGAGACAATTGTGATTGAGTTAAGTTCCTATGGCAGCATACCCCCCTGTGCGCCGAAATTGATAAGTCGAGAAATACTTCACCTTTCGATACGATTTAAATTGGGAATTGTAGCTACGCTCTAGTGCTACATCATATCCAAAACCGTCGACGGCGTTTCTTGTGAGCGCGACGTTTCTGTCCAGAATTCTAAGCCAACGATTTTGAGAAATTTAGGCACCTAATCTTCGTAGACTCCGTCCTTAGTCTCTAACAAGTGGTATCAGAGCTGATGGAAAGTGGGAGAACGGGGCGGGGTAATGGAAAGAGGGAGAACGGGGCGGGGTGATGGAAAGATAGAGAATGGGGCGGGGTGATGGAAAGTGGGAGAATGGGGCGGGGCAATGGAAAGAGGGAGAATGGGACGGGGCGATGGAAAGCGAGAGAACGGGGCGGGGTGATAGAAAGAGGGAGAATGGGGCGGGGTGATGGAAAGAGGGAGAATGGGGCGGGGTGATGGAAAGACGGAGAATGGGGCAGGGTGATGGAAAGAGGGAGAATGGGGATGGGTGATGGAAAGAGGGAGAATGGGGCTGGGTGATGGAAAGAGGGAGAATGGGGCGGGGCGATGGAAAGAGGGGGAATGGGGCGGGGTGATGGAAAGCGGGAGAATGGGGCGGGGTGATGGAAAGAGGGAGAATGGGGCGGGGCGATGGAAAGAGGGAGAATGGGGCGGGGTGATGGAAAGCGGGAGAATGGGGCGGGGTGATGGAAAGAGAGAGAATGGAACGGGGTGATGGAAAGAGGGAGAATGGGGCGGGGTGATGGAAAGCGGGAGAACGGGGCGGGGTAATGGAAAGAGGGAGAACGGGGCGGGGTGATGGAAAGATAGAGAATGCGGCGGGGTGATGGAAAGTGGGAGAATGGGGCGGGGCAATGGAAAGAGGGAGAATGGGACGGGGCGATGGAAAGCGAGAGAACGGGGCGGGGTGATGGAAAGAGGGAGAATGGGGCGGGGTGATGGAAAGAGGGAGAATGGGGCGGGGTGATGGAAAGAGGGAGAATGGGGCGGGGTGATGGAAAGAGGGAGAATGGGGTTGGCTGATGGAAAGAGGGAGAATGGGGCTGGGTGATGGAAAGAGGGAGAATGGGGCGGGGCGATGGAAAGAGGGGGAATGGGGCGGGGTGATGGAAAGCGGGAGAATGGGGCGGGGTGATGGAAAGAGGGAGAATGGGGCGGGGCGATGGAAAGAGGGAGAATGGGGCGGGGTGATGGAAAGCGGGAGAATGGGGCGGGGTGATGGAAAGAGGGAGAATGGGGCGGGGTGATGGAAAGAGGGAGAATGGGGCGGGGTGATGGAAAGAGGGAGAATGGGGCGGGCTGATGGAAAGAGGGAGAATGGGGCTGGGTGATGGAAAGCGGGAGAATGGGGCGGGGTGATGGAAAGAGGGAGAATGGGGCAGGGAGATGGAAAGCGGGAAAATAGGGCGGGGCGATGGAAAGAGGGAGAATGGGGCGGGGCAAGAAAGAGGGAGAATGGGGCGGGGCGATGGAAAGAGGGAGAATGGGGCGGGGTGATGGAAAGCGGGAGAATGGGGCGGGGTGATGGAAAGAGGGAGAATGGGGCGGGGTGATGGAAAGTGGGAGAATGGGGCTGGGTGATGGAAAGAGGGAGAATGGGGCTGGGTGATGGAAAGAGGGAGAATGGGGAGGGGCGATGGAAAGCGGGAGAATGGGGCGGGGCGATGGAAAGAGGGAGAATGAGGCGGGGCGATGGAAAGCGGGAGAATGGGCCAGGCCATTGAAAGAGGGAGAATGGGGCGGGGCGATGGAAAGCGGGAGAATGGGGCGGGGTGATGGAAAGAGGGAGAATGGGGCGGGGCGATGGAAAGCATGAGAATGGGGCGGGGCGATGGATAGAGGGAGAATGGGGCGGGGTGATGGAAAGCGGGAGATTGGGGCGGGGCGATGGAAAGCGGGAGAATGGGGCGGGGTGATGGAAAGCGGGAGAATGGGGCGGGGTGATGGAAAGCGGGAGAATGGGGCGGGGTGATTGAAAGCAGGAGAATGGGGCGGGGAGATGGAAAGCGGGAGAATGGGGCGGGGTGATGGAAAGAGGGAGAATGGGGCGGGGAGATGGAAAGCGGGAGAATGAGGCGGGGCGATGGAAAGAGGGAGAATGGGGCGGGGCGATGGAAAGAGGGAGAATAAGGCGGGGTGATGGGAAGCGGGAGAATGGGGCGGGGTGATGGAAAGCGGGAGAATGGGGCGGGTGATGGAACGCGGGAGAACAGGGCGGGGTGATGGAAAGCGGGAGAACAGGGCGGGGCGATGGAAAGCGGGAGAACAGGGCGGAGCGATTGAAAGAGGGAGAATGGGGCAGGGTGACGGAAAGCTGGAGAATGGGGCGGGGCGATGGAAAGAGGGAGAATGGGGCGGGGCGATAGAAAGAGGGAGAATGGGGTGGGGCGATGGAAAGAGGGAGAATGGGGCGGGGCGATGGAAAGTTGGAGAATGGGGCGGGACGATGGAAAGCGGGAGAATGGGGCAGGGCGATGGAAAGCGGGAGAATGGGGCGGGGTGATGGAAAGCGGGAGAATGGGGCGGGGTGATGGAAAGAGGGAGAATGGGGCGGGGTGATGGAAAGCGGAAGAATGGGGCGGGGCGATGGAAAGCGGGAGAATGGGGCGGGGTGATGGAAAGAGGGAGAATGGGGCGGGGTGATGGAAAGATGGAGAATGGGGCGGGGTGATGGAAAGAGGGAGAAATGGGCTGGGTGATGGAAAGAGGGAGAAATGAGCTGGGTGAGGGAAAGAGGGAGAATGGGGCGGGGTGATGGGAAGCGAGAGAATGGGGCGGGGTGATGGAAAGCGGGAGAATGGGGCGGGGTGATGGAAAGCGGGAGAATGGGGCGGGGTGATGGAAAGCGGGAGAATGGGGCGGGGTGATGGAAAGAGGGAGAATGGGGCGGCGTGATGGAAAGCGGGAGAATGGGGCTGGGTGATAGAAAGAGGGAGAATGGGGCGGGGTGATGTAAAGAGGGAGAATGGGGCGTGGTGATGGAAAGCGGGAGATCGCGGCGGGGTGATGGAAAGCGGGAGAACGGGGCGGGTGATGGAAAGCGGGAGAACAGGGCGGGGTGATGGAAAGCGGGAGAACGGGTCGGGGTGATGGAAAGCGGGAGAACGGGTTGGGGTGATGGAAAGCAGGAGAATGGGGCGGGGTGATGGAAAGCGGAAGAATGGGGCGGGGCGATGGAAAGCGGGAGAATGGGGCGGGGTGATGGAAAGAGGGAGAATGGGGCGGGGTGATGGAAAGATGGAGAATGGGGCGGGGTGATGGAAAGAGGGAGAAATGGGCTGGGTGATGGAAAGAGGGAGAAATGGGCTGGGTGAGGGAAAGAGGGAGAATGGGGCGGGGTGATGGGAAGCGAGAGAATGGGGCGGGGTGATGGAAAGCGGGAGAATGGGGCGGGGTGATGGAAAGCGGGAGAATGGGGCGGGGTGATGGAAAGCGGGAGAATGGGGCGGGGTGATGGAAAGAGGGAGAATGGGGCGGCGTGATGGAAAGCGGGAGAATGGGGCTGGGTGATAGAAAGAGGGAGAATGGGGCGGGGTGATGTAAAGAGGGAGAATGGGGCGTGGTGATGGAAAGCGGGAGATCGCGGCGGGGTGATGGAAAGCGGGAGAACGGGGCGGGTGATGGAAAGCGGGAGAACAGGGCGGGGTGATGGAAAGCGGGAGAACGGGTCGGGGTGATGGAAAGCGGGAGAACGGGTTGGAGTGATGGAAAGCGGGAGAACGGGGCAGGGTGATGGAAAGCGGGAGAACGGGGCGGGGTGATGGAAAGGGGGAGAATAAGGGGGGGTGATGGAAAGCGGGAGAATGGGGCGGGGTGATGGAAAGAAGGAAAATAGGGCGGGGTGATGGAAAGAGGGAGAATGGGACGGGGCGATGGAAAGCGAGAGAACGGGGCGGGGTGATGGAAAGAGGGAGAATGGGGCGGGGTGATGGAAAGAGGGAGAATGGGGCGGGGTGATGGAAAGAGGGAGAATGGGGTTGGGTGATGGAAAGAGGGAGAATGGGGCTGGGTGATGGAAAGAGGGAGAAATGGGCTGGGTGAGGGAAAGAGGGAGAATGGGGCGGGGTGATGGGAAGCGAGAGAATGGGGCGGGGTGATGGAAAGCGGGAGAATGGGGCGGGGTGATGGAAAGCGGGAGAATGGGGCGGGGTGATGGAAAGCGGGAGAATGGGACGGGGTGATGGAAAGAGGGAGAATGGGGCGGCGTGATGGAAAGCGGGAGAATGGGGCTGGGTGATGGAAAGCGGGAGAATGGGGCGGGGTGATGGAAAGCGGGAGAATGGGGCGGGGTGATGGAAAGAGGGAGAATGGGGCGGGGTGATGGAAAGAGGGAGAATGGGGCGGGGTGATGGAAAGCGGAAGAATGGGGAGGGGTGATGGAAAGATGGAGAATGGGGCGGGGTGATGGAAAGAGGGAGAAATGGGCTGGGTGATGGAAAGAGGGAGAAATGGGCTGGGTGAGGGAAAGAGGGAGAATGGGGCGGGGTGATGGGAAGCGAGAGAATGGGGCGGGGTGATGGAAAGTGGGAGAATGGGGCGGGGTGATGGAAAGCGGGAGAATGGGGCGGGGTGATGGAAAGCGGGAGAATGGGGCGGGGTGATGGAAAGAGGGAGAATGGGGCGGGGTGATGGAAAGCGGGAGAATGGGGCGGGGTGATGGAAAGAGGGAGAATGGGGCGGCGTGATGGAAAGCGGGAGAATGGGGCTGGGTGATAGAAAGAGGGAGAATGGGGCGGGGTGATGTAAAGAGGGAGAATGGGGCGTGGTGATGGAAAGCGGGAGATCGCGGCGGGGTGATGGAAAGCGGGAGAACGGGGCGGGTGATGGAAAGCGGGAGAACAGGGCGGGGTGATGGAAAGCGGGAGAACGGGTCGGGGTGATGTAAAGCGGGAGAACGGGTTGGGGTGATGGAAAGCGGGAGAACGGGGCGGGGTGATGGAAAGCGGGAGAACGGGGCGGGGTGATGGAAAGGGGGAGAATAAGGGGGGGTGATGGAAAGCGGGAGAATGGGGCGGGGTGATGGAAAGAAGGAAAATAGGGCGGGGCAATGGAAAGAGGGAGAATGGGACGGGGCGATGGAAAACGAGAGAACGAAGCGGGGTGATGGAAAGAGGGAGAATGGGGCGGGGTGATGGAAAGAGGGAGAATGGGGCGGGGTGATGGAAAGAGGGAGAATGGGGCGGGGTGATGGAAAGAGGGAGAATGGGGTTGGGTGATGGAAAGAGGGAGAATGGGGCTGGGTGATGGAAAGAGGGAGAAATGGGCTGGGTGAGGGAAAGAGGGAGAATGGGGTGGGGTAATGGGAAGCGAGAGAATGGGGCGGGGTGATGGAAAGCGGGAGAATGGGGCGGGGTGATGGAAAGCGGGAGAATGGGGCGGGGTGATGGAAAGCGGGAGAATGGGGCGGGGTGATGGAAAGAGGGAGAATGGGGCGGCGTGATGGAAAGCGGGAGAATGGGGCTGGGTGATGGAAAGCGGGAGAATGGGGCGGGGTGATGGAAAGCGGGAGAATGGGGCGGGGTGATGGAAAGAGGGAGAATGGGGCGGGGTGATGGAAAGAGGGAGAATGGGGCGGGGTGATGGAAAGCGGAAGAATGGGGCGGGGTGATGGAAAGATGGAGAATGGGGCGGGGTGATGGAAAGAGGGAGAAATGGGCTGGGTGATGGAAAGAGGGAGAAATGGGCTGGGTGAGGGAAAGAGGGAGAATGGGGCGGGGTGATGGGAAGCGAGAGAATGGGGCGGGGTGATGGAAAGCGGGAGAATGGGGCGGGGTGATGGAAAGCGGGAGAATGGGGCGGGGTGATGGAAAGCGGGAGAATGGGGCGGGGTGATGGAAAGAGGGAGAATGGGGCGGGGTGATGGAAAGCGGGAGAATGGGGCGGGGTGATGGAAAGAGGGAGAATGGGGCGGCGTGATGGAAAGCGGGAGAATGGGGCTGGGTGATAGAAAGAGGGAGAATGGGGCGGGGTGATGTAAAGAGGGAGAATGGGGCGTGGTGATGGAAAGCGGGAGATCGCGGCGGGGTGATGGAAAGCGGGAGAACGGGGCGGGTGATGGAAAGCGGGAGAACAGGGCGGGGTGATGGAAAGCGGGAGAACGGGTCGGGGTGATGAAAAGCGGGAGACCGGGTTGGGGTGATGGAAAGCGGGAGAACGGGGCGGGGTGATGGAAAGCGGGAGAACGGGGCGGGGTGATGGAAAGGGGGAGAATAAGGGGGGGTGATGGAAAGCGGGAGAATGGGGCGGGGTGATGGAAAGAAGGAAAATAGGGCGGGGCAATGGAAAGAGGGAGAATGGGACGGGGCGATGGAAAACGAGAGAACGGGGCGGGGTGATGGAAAGAGGGAGAATGGGGCGGGGTGATGGAAAGAGGGAGAATGGGGCGGGGTGATGGAAAGAGGGAGAATGGGGCGGGGTGATGGAAAGAGGGAGAATGGGGTTGGGTGATGGAAAGAGCGAGAATGGGGCTGGGTGATGGAAAGAGGGAGAATGGGGCGGGGCGATGGAAAGAGGGGGAATGGGGCGGGGTGATGGAAAGCGGGAGAATGGGGCGGGGTGATGGAAAGAGGGAGAATGGGGCGGGTAGATGGAAAGAGGGAGAATGGGGCGGGGCGATGGAAAGAGGGAGAATGGGGCAGGGTGATGGAAAGCGGGAGAATGGGGCGGGGTGATGGAAAGAGGGAGAATGGGGCGGGGTGATGGAATGAGGGAGAATGGGGCGGGGTGATGGAAAGAGGGAGAATGGGGCGGGGTGATGGAAAGAGGGAGAATGGGGCTGGGCGAAGGAAAGCGGGAGAATGGGGCGGGGCGAAGGAAAGCGGGAGAATGAGGCGGGGTGATGGAAAGCGGGAGAATGGGCGGGGTGATGGAAAGCGGGAGAATGGGCGGGGCGATGGGAAGAGGCAGAATGGGGCGGGGCGATGGAAAGAGGGAGAATGGGGCGGGGTGATGGAAAGCGGGAGATTGGGGCGGGTCGATGGAAAGCGGGAGAATGGGGCGGGGCGATGGAAAGCGGGAGAATGGGGCGGGGCGATGGAAAGCGGGAGAATGAAGCGGGGTGATGGAAAGCGGGAGAATGGGGCTGGGTGATAGAAAGAGGGAGAATGGGGCGGGGTGATGTAAAGAGGGAGAATGGGGCGTGGTGATGGAAAGCGGGAGATCGCGGCGGGGTGATGGAAAGCGGGAGAACGGGGCGGGTGATGGAAAGCGGGAGAACAGGGCGGGGTGATGGAAAGCGGGAGAACGGGTCGGGGTGATGGAAAGCGGGAGAACGGGTTGGGGTGATGGAAAGCGGGAGAACGGGGCGGGGTGATGGAAAGCGGGAGAACGGGGCGGGGTGATGGAAAGGGGGAGAATAAGGGGGGGTGATGGAAAGCGGGAGAATGGGGCGGGGTGATGGAAAGAAGGAAAATAGGGCGGGGCAATGGAAAGAGGGAGAATGGGACGGGGTGATGGAAAGAGGGAGAATGGGGCGGGGTGATGGAAAGAGGGAGAATGGGGCGGGGTGATGGAAAGAGGGAGAATGGGGCGGGGTGATGGAAAGAGGGAGAATGGGGCGGGGTGATGGAAAGAGGGAGAATGGGGTTGGGTGATGGAAAGAGGGAGAATGGGGCTGGGTGATGGAAAGAGGGAGAATGGGGCGGGGTGATGGAAAGAGGGAGAATGGGGCGGGGTGATGGAAAGAGGGAGAATGGGGTTGGGTGATGGAAAGAGGGAGAATTGGGCTGGGTGATGGAAAGAGGGAGAAATGGGCTGGGTGAGGGAAAGAGGGAGAATGGGGCGGGGTGATGGGAAGCGAGAGAATGGGGCGGGGTGATGGAAAGCGGGAGAATGGGGCGGGGTGATGGAAAGTGGGAGAGTGGGGCGGGGTGATGGAAAGCGGGAGAATGGGGCGGGGTGATGGAAAGAGGGAGAATGGGGCGGCGTGATGGAAAGCGGGAGAATGGGGCTGGGTGATGGAAAGCGGGAGAATGGGGCGGGGTGATGGAAAGCGGGAGAATGGGGCGGGGTGATGGAAAGAGGGAGAATGGGGCGGGGTGATGGAAAGAGGGAGAATGGGGCGGGGTGATGGAAAGCGGAAGAATGGGGCGGGGTGATGGAAAGATGGAGAATGGGGCGGGGTGATGGAAAGAGGGAGAAATGGGCTGGGTGATGGAAAGAGGGAGAATGGGGCGGGGTGATGGAAAGAGGGAGAATGGGGCGGGGTGATGGAAAGAGGGAGAATGGGGCGGGGTGATGGAAAGAGGGAGAATGGGGTTGGGTGATGGAAAGAGGGAGAATGGGGCTGGGTGATGGAAAGAGGGAGAAATGGGCTGGGTGAGGGAAAGAGGGAGAATGGGGCGGGGTGATGGGAAGCGAGAGAATGGGGCGGGGTGATGGAAAGCGGGAGAATGGGGCGGGGTGATGGAAAGTGGGAGAGTGGGGCGGGGTGATGGAAAGCGGGAGAATGGGGCGGGGTGATGGAAAGAGGGAGAATGGGGCGGCGTGATGGAAAGCGGGAGAATGGGGCTGGGTGATGGAAAGCGGGAGAATGGGGCGGGGTGATGGAAAGCGGGAGAATGGGGCGGGGTGATGGAAAGAGGGAGAATGGGGCGGGGTGATGGAAAGAGGGAGAATGGGGCGGGGTGATGGAAAGCGGAAGAATGGGGCGGGGTGATGGAAAGATGGAGAATGGGGCGGGGTGATGGAAAGAGGGAGAAATGGGCTGGGTGATGGAAAGAGGGAGAAATGGGCTGGGTGAGGGAAAGAGGGAGAATGGGGCGGGGTGATGGGAAGCGAGAGAATGGGGCGGGGTGATGGAAAGCGGGAGAATGGGGCGGGGTGATGGAAAGCGGGAGAATGGGGCGGGGTGATGGAAAGCGGGAGAATGGGGCGGGGTGATGGAAAGAGGGAGAATGGGGCGGGGTGATGGAAAGCGGGAGAATGGGGCGGGGTGATGGAAAGAGGGAGAATGGGGCGGCGTGATGGAAAGCGGGAGAATGGGGCTGGGTGATAGAAAGAGGGAGAATGGGGCGGGGTGATGTAAAGAGGGAGAATGGGGCGTGGTGATGGAAAGCGGGAGATCGCGGCGGGGTGATGGAAAGCGGGAGAACGGGGCGGGTGATGGAAAGCGGGAGAACAGGGCGGGGTGATGGAAAGCGGGAGAACGGGTCGGGGTGATGAAAAGCGGGAGACCGGGTTGGGGTGATGGAAAGCGGGAGAACGGGGCGGGGTGATGGAAAGCGGGAGAACGGGGCGGGGTGATGGAAAGGGGGAGAATAAGGGGGGGTGATGGAAAGCGGGAGAATGGGGCGGGGTGATGGAAAGAAGGAAAATAGGGCGGGGCAATGGAAAGAGGGAGAATGGGACGGGGCGATGGAAAACGAGAGAACGGGGCGGGGTGATGGAAAGAGGGAGAATGGGGCGGGGTGATGGAAAGAGGGAGAATGGGGCGGGGTGATGGAAAGAGGGAGAATGGGGCGGGGTGATGGAAAGAGGGAGAATGGGGTTGGGTGATGGAAAGAGCGAGAATGGGGCTGGGTGATGGAAAGAGGGAGAATGGGGCGGGGCGATGGAAAGAGGGGGAATGGGGCGGGGTGATGGAAAGCGGGAGAATGGGGCGGGGTGATGGAAAGAGGGAGAATGGGGCGGGTAGATGGAAAGAGGGAGAATGGGGCGGGGCGATGGAAAGAGGGAGAATGGGGCAGGGTGATGGAAAGCGGGAGAATGGGGCGGGGTGATGGAAAGAGGGAGAATGGGGCGGGGTGATGGAATGAGGGAGAATGGGGCGGGGTGATGGAAAGAGGGAGAATGGGGCGGGGTGATGGAAAGAGGGAGAATGGGGCTGGGCGAAGGAAAGCGGGAGAATGGGGCGGGGCGAAGGAAAGCGGGAGAATGAGGCGGGGTGATGGAAAGCGGGAGAATGGGCGGGGTGATGGAAAGCGGGAGAATGGGCGGGGCGATGGGAAGAGGCAGAATGGGGCGGGGCGATGGAAAGAGGGAGAATGGGGCGGGGTGATGGAAAGCGGGAGATTGGGGCGGGTCGATGGAAAGCGGGAGAATGGGGCGGGGCGATGGAAAGCGGGAGAATGGGGCGGGGCGATGGAAAGCGGGAGAATGAAGCGGGGTGATGGAAAGCGGGAGAATGGGGCTGGGTGATAGAAAGAGGGAGAATGGGGCGGGGTGATGTAAAGAGGGAGAATGGGGCGTGGTGATGGAAAGCGGGAGATCGCGGCGGGGTGATGGAAAGCGGGAGAACGGGGCGGGTGATGGAAAGCGGGAGAACAGGGCGGGGTGATGGAAAGCGGGAGAACGGGTCGGGGTGATGGAAAGCGGGAGAACGGGTTGGGGTGATGGAAAGCGGGAGAACGGGGCGGGGTGATGGAAAGCGGGAGAACGGGGCGGGGTGATGGAAAGGGGGAGAATAAGGGGGGGTGATGGAAAGCGGGAGAATGGGGCGGGGTGATGGAAAGAAGGAAAATAGGGCGGGGCAATGGAAAGAGGGAGAATGGGACGGGGTGATGGAAAGAGGGAGAATGGGGCGGGGTGATGGAAAGAGGGAGAATGGGGCGGGGTGATGGAAAGAGGGAGAATGGGGCGGGGTGATGGAAAGAGGGAGAATGGGGCGGGGTGATGGAAAGAGGGAGAATGGGGTTGGGTGATGGAAAGAGGGAGAATGGGGCTGGGTGATGGAAAGAGGGAGAATGGGGCGGGGTGATGGAAAGAGGGAGAATGGGGCGGGGTGATGGAAAGAGGGAGAATGGGGTTGGGTGATGGAAAGAGGGAGAATTGGGCTGGGTGATGGAAAGAGGGAGAAATGGGCTGGGTGAGGGAAAGAGGGAGAATGGGGCGGGGTGATGGGAAGCGAGAGAATGGGGCGGGGTGATGGAAAGCGGGAGAATGGGGCGGGGTGATGGAAAGTGGGAGAGTGGGGCGGGGTGATGGAAAGCGGGAGAATGGGGCGGGGTGATGGAAAGAGGGAGAATGGGGCGGCGTGATGGAAAGCGGGAGAATGGGGCTGGGTGATGGAAAGCGGGAGAATGGGGCGGGGTGATGGAAAGCGGGAGAATGGGGCGGGGTGATGGAAAGAGGGAGAATGGGGCGGGGTGATGGAAAGAGGGAGAATGGGGCGGGGTGATGGAAAGCGGAAGAATGGGGCGGGGTGATGGAAAGATGGAGAATGGGGCGGGGTGATGGAAAGAGGGAGAAATGGGCTGGGTGATGGAAAGAGGGAGAATGGGGCGGGGTGATGGAAAGAGGGAGAATGGGGCGGGGTGATGGAAAGAGGGAGAATGGGGCGGGGTGATGGAAAGAGGGAGAATGGGGTTGGGTGATGGAAAGAGGGAGAATGGGGCTGGGTGATGGAAAGAGGGAGAAATGGGCTGGGTGAGGGAAAGAGGGAGAATGGGGCGGGGTGATGGGAAGCGAGAGAATGGGGCGGGGTGATGGAAAGCGGGAGAATGGGGCGGGGTGATGGAAAGTGGGAGAGTGGGGCGGGGTGATGGAAAGCGGGAGAATGGGGCGGGGTGATGGAAAGAGGGAGAATGGGGCGGCGTGATGGAAAGCGGGAGAATGGGGCTGGGTGATGGAAAGCGGGAGAATGGGGCGGGGTGATGGAAAGCGGGAGAATGGGGCGGGGTGATGGAAAGAGGGAGAATGGGGCGGGGTGATGGAAAGAGGGAGAATGGGGCGGGGTGATGGAAAGCGGAAGAATGGGGCGGGGTGATGGAAAGATGGAGAATGGGGCGGGGTGATGGAAAGAGGGAGAAATGGGCTGGGTGATGGAAAGAGGGAGAAATGGGCTGGGTGAGGGAAAGAGGGAGAATGGGGCGGGGTGATGGGAAGCGAGAGAATGGGGCGGGGTGATGGAAAGCGGGAGAATGGGGCGGGGTGATGGAAAGCGGGAGAATGGGGCGGGGTGATGGAAAGCGGGAGAATGGGGCGGGGTGATGGAAAGAGGGAGAATGGGGCGGGGTGATGGAAAGCGGGAGAATGGGGCGGGGTGATGGAAAGAGGGAGAATGGGGCGGCGTGATGGAAAGCGGGAGAATGGGGCTGGGTGATAGAAAGAGGGAGAATGGGGCGGGGTGATGTAAAGAGGGAGAATGGGGCGTGGTGATGGAAAGCGGGAGATCGCGGCGGGGTGATGGAAAGCGGGAGAACGGGGCGGGTGATGGAAAGCGGGAGAACAGGGCGGGGTGATGGAAAGCGGGAGAACGGGTCGGGGTGATGGAAAGCGGGAGAATGGGGCGGGGTGATGGAAAGTGGGAGAGTGGGGCGGGGTGATGGAAAGCGGGAGAATGGGGCGGGGTGATGGAAAGAGGGAGAATGGGGCGGCGTGATGGAAAGCGGGAGAATGGGGCTGGGTGATGGAAAGCGGGAGAATGGGGCGGGGTGATGGAAAGCGGGAGAATGGGGCGGGGTGATGGAAAGAGGGAGAATGGGGCGGGGTGATGGAAAGAGGGAGAATGGGGCGGGGTGATGGAAAGCGGAAGAATGGGGCGGGGTGATGGAAAGATGGAGAATGGGGCGGGGTGATGGAAAGAGGGAGAAATGGGCTGGGTGATGGAAAGAGGGAGAATGGGGCGGGGTGATGGAAAGAGGGAGAATGGGGCGGGGTGATGGAAAGAGGGAGAATGGGGTTGGGTGATGGAAAGAGGGAGAATGGGGCTGGGTGATGGAAAGAGGGAGAAATGGGCTGGGTGAGGGAAAGAGGGAGAATGGGGCGGGGTGATGGGAAGCGAGAGAATGGGGCGGGGTGATGGAAAGCGGGAGAATGGGGCGGGGTGATGGAAAGTGGGAGAGTGGGGCGGGGTGATGGAAAGCGGGAGAATGGGGCGGGGTGATGGAAAGAGGGAGAATGGGGCGGCGTGATGGAAAGCGGGAGAATGGGGCTGGGTGATGGAAAGCGGGAGAATGGGGCGGGGTGATGGAAAGCGGGAGAATGGGGCGGGGTGATGGAAAGAGGGAGAATGGGGCGGGGTGATGGAAAGAGGGAGAATGGGGCGGGGTGATGGAAAGCGGAAGAATGGGGCGGGGTGATGGAAAGATGGAGAATGGGGCGGGGTGATGGAAAGAGGGAGAAATGGGCTGGGTGATGGAAAGAGGGAGAAATGGGCTGGGTGAGGGAAAGAGGGAGAATGGGGCGGGGTGATGGGAAGCGAGAGAATGGGGCGGGGTGATGGAAAGCGGGAGAATGGGGCGGGGTGATGGAAAGCGGGAGAATGGGGCGGGGTGATGGAAAGCGGGAGAATGGGGCGGGGTGATGGAAAGAGGGAGAATGGGGCGGGGTGATGGAAAGCGGGAGAATGGGGCGGGGTGATGGAAAGAGGGAGAATGGGGCGGCGTGATGGAAAGCGGGAGAATGGGGCTGGGTGATAGAAAGAGGGAGAATGGGGCGGGGTGATGTAAAGAGGGAGAATGGGGCGTGGTGATGGAAAGCGGGAGATCGCGGCGGGGTGATGGAAAGCGGGAGAACGGGGCGGGTGATGGAAAGCGGGAGAACAGGGCGGGGTGATGGAAAGCGGGAGAACGGGTCGGGGTGATGGAAAGCGGGAGAACGGGTTGGGGTGATGGAAAGCGGGAGAACGGGGCGGGGTGATGGAAAGCGGGAGAACGGGGCGGGGTGATGGAAAGGGGGAGAATAAGGGGGGGTGATGGAAAGCGGGAGAATGGGGCGGGGTGATGGAAAGAAGGAAAATAGGGCGGGGCAATGGAAAGAGGGAGAATGGGACAGGGCGATGGAAAACGAGAGAACGGGGCGGGGTGATGGAAAGAGGGAGAATGGGGCGGGGTGATGGAAAGAGGGAGAATGGGGCGGGGTGATGGAAAGAGGGAGAATGGGGCGGGGTGATGGAAAGAGGGAGAATGGGGTTGGGTGATGGAAAGAGCGAGAATGGGGCTGGGTGATGGAAAGAGGGAGAATGGGGCGGGGCGATGGAAAGAGGGGGAATGGGGCGGGGTGATGGAAAGCGGGAGAATGGGGCGGGGTGATGGAAAGAGGGAGAATGGGGCGGGGCGATGGAAAGAGGGAGAATGGGGCGGGGCGATGGAAAGAGGGAGAATGGGGCAGGGTGATGGAAAGCGGGAGAATGGGGCGGGGTGATGGAAAGAGGGAGAATGGGGCGGGGTGATGGAACGAGGGAGAATGGGGCGGGGTGATGGAAAGAGGGAGAATGGGGCGGGGTGATGGAAAGAGGGAGAATGGGGCTGGGCGAAGGAAAGCGGGAGAATGGGGCGGGGCGAAGGAAAGCGGGAGAATGAGGCGGGGTGATGGAAAGCGGGAGAATGGGCGGGGTGATGGAAAGCGGGAGAATGGGCGGGGCGATGGGAAGAGGCAGAATGGGGCGGGGCGATGGAAAGAGGGAGAATGGGGCGGGGTGATGGAAAGCGGGAGATTGGGGCGGGGCGATGGAAAGCGGGAGAATGGGGCGGGGCGATGGAAAGCGGGAGAATGGGGCGGGGCGATGGAAAGTGGGAGAATGAAGCGGGGTGATGGAAAGCGGGAGAATGGGGCGGGGTGATTGAATGCGGGAGAATGGGGCGGGGTGATGGAAAGCGGGAGAATGGGGCGGGGCGATGGAAAGCGGGAGAATGGGGCGGGGCGATGGAAAGCGGGAGAATGGGGCGGGGTGATGGAAAGCGGGAGAATGGGGCGGGGTGATGGAAAGGGGGAGAATGGGGCGGGGTGATTGAAAGCGGGAGAATGGGGCGGGGAGATGGAAAGCGGGAGAATGGGGCGGGGTGATGGAAAGAGGGAGAATGGGGCGGGGAGATGGAAAGCGGGAGAATGAGGCGGGGCGATGGAACGCGGGAGAACAGGGCGGGGTGATGGAAAGCGGGAGAACAGGGCGGGGAGATGGAAAGCGGGAGAACAGGGCGGGGCGATTGAAAGAGCGAGAATGGGGCAGGGTGACGGAAATCTAGAGAATGGGGCGGGGCGATGGAAAGAGGGAGAATGGGGCGGGGCGATAGAAAGAGGGAGAATGGGGCGGGGCGATGGAAAGTGGGATAATGGGGCGGGACAATGGAAAGCGGGAGAATGGGGCAGGGCGATGGAAAGCGGGAGAATGTGGCGGGGTGATGGAAAGCGGGAGAATGGGGCGGGGTGATGGAAAGAGGGAGAATGGGTTGGGGTGATGGAAAGCAGAAGAATGGGTTGGGGCGATGGAAAGCGGGAGAATGGGGTGGGGTGATGGAAAGCGGGAGAATGGGGCGGGGTGATGGAAAGAGGGAGAATGGGGCGGGGTGATGGAAAGAGGGAGAATGGGGCGGGGTGATGGAAAGAGGGAGAATGGGGTTGGGTGATGGAAAGAGGGAGAATGGGGCTGGGTGATGGAAAGAGGGAGAAATGGGCTGGGTGAGGGAAAGAGGGAGAATGGGGCGGGGTGACGGGAAGCGAGAGAATGGGGCGGGGTGATGGAAAGCGGGAGAATGGGGCGGGGTGATGGAAAGCGGGAAAATGGGGCGGGGTGATGGAAAGCGGGAGAATGGGGCGGGGTGATGGAAAGAGGGAGAATGGGGCGGCGTGATGGAAAGCGGGAGAATGGGGCTGGGTGATGGAAAGCGGGAGAATGGGGCGGGGTGATGGAAAGCGGGAGAATGGGGCGGGGTGATGGAAAGAGGGAGAATGGGGCGGGGTGATGGAAAGAGGGAGAATGGGGCGGGGTGATGGAAAGCGGAAGAATGGGGCGGGGTGATGGAAAGATGGAGAAGGGGGCGGGGTGATGGAAAGAGGGAGAAATGGGCTGGGTGATGGAAAGAGGGAGAAATGGGCTGGGTGAGGGAAAGAGGGAGAATGGGGCGGGGTGATGGGAAGCGAGAGAATGGGGCGGGGTGATGGAAAGCGGGAGAATGGGGCGGGGTGATGGAAAGCGGGAGAATGGGGCGGGGTGATGGAAAGCGGGAGAATGGGGCGGGGTGATGGAAAGAGGGAGAATGGGGCGGGGTGATGGAAAGCGGGAGAATGGGGCGGGGTGATGGAAAGAGGGAGAATGGGGCGGCGTGATGGAAAGCGGGAGAATGGGGCTGGGTGATAGAAAGAGGGAGAATGGGGCGGGGTGATGTAAAGAGGGAGAATGGGGCGTGGTGATGGAAAGCGGGAGATCGCGGCGGGGTGATGGAAAGCGGGAGAACGGGGCGGGTGATGGAAAGCGGGAGAACAGGGCGGGGTGATGGAAAGCGGGAGAACGGGTCGGGGTGATGGAAAGCGGGAGAACGGGTTGGGGTGATGGAAAGCGGGAGAACGGGGCGGGGTGATGGAAAGCGGGAGAACGGGGCGGGGTGATGGAAAGGGGGAGAATAAGGGGGGGTGATGGAAAGCGGGAGAATGGGGCGGGGTGATGGAAAGAAGGAAAATAGGGCGGGGCAATGGAAAGAGGGAGAATGGGACGGGGCGATGGAAAACGAGAGAACGGGGCGGGGTGATGGAAAGAGGGAGAATGGGGTTGGGTGATGGAAAGAGCGAGAATGGGGCTGGGTGATGGAAAGAGGGAGAATGGGGCAGGGCGATGGAAAGAGGGGGAATGGGGCGGGGTGATGGAAAGCGGGAGAATGGGGCGGGGTGATGGAAAGAGGGAGAATGGGGCGGGGCGATGGAAAGAGGGAGAATGGGGCGGGGCGATGGAAAGAGGGAGAATGGGGCAGGGTGATGGAAAGCGGGAGAATGGGGCGGGGTGATGGAAAGAGGGAGAATGGGGTGGGGTGATGGAACGAGGGAGAATGGGGCGGGGTGATGGAAAGAGGGAGAATGGGGCGGGGTGATGGAAAGAGGGAGAATGGGGCTGGGCGAAGGAAAGCGGGAGAATGGGGCGGGGCGAAGGAAAGCGGGAGAAAGAGGCGGGGTGATGGAAAGCGGGAGAATGGGCGGGGTGATGGAAAGCGGGAGAATGGGCGGGGCGATGGGAAGAGGCAGAATGGGGCGGGGCGATGGAAAGAGGGAGAATGGGGCGGGGTGATGGAAAGCGGGAGATTGGGGCGGGGCGATGGAAAGTGGGAGAATGGGGCGGGGCGATGGAAAGCGGGAGAATGGGGCGGGGCGATGGAAAGCGGGAGAATGAAGCGGGGTGATGGAAAGCGGGAGAATGGGGCGGGGTGATTGAATGCGGGAGAATGGGGCGGGGTGATGGAAAGCGGGAGAATGGGGCGGGGCGATGGAAAGCGGGAGAATGGGGCGGGGCGATGGAAAGCGGGAGAATGGGGCGGGGCGATGGAAAGCGGGAGAATGGGGCGGGGTGATGGAAAGAGGGAGAAATGGGCTGGGTGAGGGAAAGAGGGAGAATGGGGCGGGGTGATGGGAAGAGAGAGAATGGGGCGGGGTGATGGAAAGCGGGAGAATGGGCCGGGGTGATGGAAAGCGGGAGAATGGGGCGGGGTGATGGAAAGCGGGAGAATGGGGCGGGGTGATGGAATGAGGGAGAATGGGCGGGGTGATGGAAAGAGGGAGAATGGGGCGGGGTGATGGAAAGAGGGAGAAATGGGCTGGGTGAGGGAAAGAGGGAGAATGGGGCGGGGTGATGGGAAGAGAGAGAATGGGGCGGGGTGATGGAAAGCGGGAGAATGGGCCGGGGTGATGGAAAGCGGGAGAATGGGGCGGGTTGATGGAAAGCGGGAGAATGGGGCGGGGTGAGGGAAAGAGGGAGAATGGGGCGGGGTGATGGGAAGAGAGAGAATGGGGCGGGGTGATGGAAAGCGGGAGAATGGGCCGGGGTGATGGAAAGCGGGAGAATGGGGCGGGGTGATTGAAAGCAGGAGAATGGGGCGGGGAGATGGAAAGCGGGAGAATGGGGCGGAGTGATGGAAAGAGGGAGAATGGGGCGGGGAGATGGAAAGCGGGAGAATGAGGCGGGGTGATGGAAAGAGGGAGAATGGGGCGGGGTGATGGAAAGAGGGAGAATGGGGCGGGGTGATGGAAAGAGGGAGAATGGGGCGGGGTGATGGAGAGAGGGAGAATGGGGTTGGGTGATGGAAAGAGGGAGAATGGGGCTGGGTGATGGAAAGAGGGAGAATGGGGCGGGGCGATGGAAAGAGGGGGAATGGGGCGGGGTGATGGAAAGCGGGAGAATGGGGCGGGGTGATGGAAAGAGGGAGAATGGGGCGGGGCGATGGTAAGAGGGAGAATGGGGCAGGGCGATGGAAAGAGGGAGAATGGGGCAGGGTGATGGAAAGCGGGAGAATGGGGCGGGGTGATGGAAAGAGGGAGAATGGGGCGGGGTGATGGAACGAGGGAGAATGGGGCGGGGTGATGGAAAGAGGGAGAATGGGGCGGGGTGATGGTAAGAGGGAGAATGGGGCTGGGCGAAGGAATGCGGGAGAATGGGGCGGGGCGAAGGAAAGCGGGAGAATGAGGTGGGGTGATGGAAAGCGAGAGAATGGGCGGGGTGATGGAAAGCGGGAGAATGGGCGGGGCGATGGGAAGAGGCAGAATGGGGCGGGGCAATGGAAAGAGGGAGAATGGGGCGGGGTGATGGAAAGCGGGAGATTGGGGCGGGGCGATGGAAAGCGGGAGAATGGGGCGGGGCGATGGAAAGCGGGAGAATGAAGCGGGGTGATGGAAAGCGGGAGAATGGGGCGGGGTGATGGAAAGCGGGAGAATGGGGCGGGGCGATGGAAAGCGGGAGAATGGGGCGGGGCGATGGAAAGCGGGAGAATGGGGCGGGGTGATGGAAAGCGGGAGAATGGGGCGGGGTGATGGAAAGGGGGAGAATGGGGCGGGGTGATTGAAAGCGGGAGAATGGGGCGGGGAGATGGAAAGCGGGAGAATGGGGCGGGGTGATGGAAAGAGGGAGAATGGGGCGGGGAGATGGAAAGCGGGAGAATGAGGCAGGGCGATGGAACGTGGGAGAACAGGGCGGGGTGATGGAAAGCGGGAGAACAGGGCGGGGCGATGGAAAGCGGGAGAACAGGGCGGGGCGATTGAAAGAGCGAGAATGGGGCAGGGTGACGGAAATCTGGAGCATGGGGCGGGGCGATGGAAAGAGGGAGAATGGGGCGGGGCGATAGAAAGAGGGAGAATGGGGCGGGGCGATGGAAAGTGGGATAATGGGGCGGGACAATGGAAAGCGGGAGAATGGGGCAGGGCGATGGAAAGCGGGAGAATGGGGCGGGGTGATGGAAAGCGGGAGAATGGGGCGGGGTGATGGAAAGAGGGAGAATGGGGCGGGGTGATGGAAAGCAGAAGAATGGGTTGGGGCGATGGAAAGCGGGAGAATGGGGCGGGGTGATGGAAAGAGGGAGAATGGGGCGGGGTGATGGAAAGATGGAGAATGGGGCGGGGTGATGGAAAGAGGGAGAAATGGGCTGGGTGATGGAAAGAGGGAGAAATGGGCTGGGTGAGGGAAAGAGGGAGAATGGGGCGGGGTGATGGGAAGAGAGAGAATGGGGCGGGGTGATGGAAAGCGGGAGAATGGGCCGGGGTGATGGAAAGCGGGAGAATGGGGTGGGGTGATGGAAAGCGGGAGAATGGGGCGGGGTGATGGAAAGAGGGAGAATGGGGCGGCGTGATGGAAAGCGGGAGAATGGGGCTGGGTGATGGAAAGAGGGAGAATGGGGCGGGGTGATGTAAAGAGGGAGAATGGGGTGTGGTGATGGAAAGCGGGAGATCGCGGCGGGGTGATGGAAAGCGGGAGAACGGGGCGGGTGATGGAAAGCGGGAGAACCGGGCGGGGTGATGGAAAGCGGGAGAACGGGTCGGGGTGATGGAAAGCGGGAGAACGGGTCGGGGTGATGGAAAGCGGGAGAACGGGGCGGGGTGATGGAAAGCGGGAGAACGGGGCGGGGTGATGGAAAGGGGGGTTAATGGGGCGGGGCGATGGAAAGCGGGAGAATGGGGCGGGGTGATGGAAAGAGGGAAAATAGGGTGGGGTGATGGAAAGAGGGAGAATGGGGCGGGGTGATGGAAAGAGGGAGAAATGGGCTGGGTGATAAATGGAAAGAGGTAGAATAGGGCGGGGTGATGGAAAGAGGGAGAATGGGACCGGGTGATGGAAAGCGGTAGAATGGGGCAGGGTGATGGAAAGCGGGAAAATGGGGCGGGGTGATGGAAAGCGGGAAAATGGGGCGGGGTGATGGAAAGCGGGAGAACGGGGCGGGGTGATGGAAAGAGGGAGAATGGGGCGGGGTGATGGAAAGCGGGAGAATGGGGCTGGGTGATGGAAAGAGGGAGAATGGGGCGGGGCGATGGAAAGCGGGAGAATGGGGCGGGGCGATGGAAAGCGGGAGAATGGGGCGGGGTGATGGAAAGCGGGAGAATGGGGCTGGGTGATGGAAAGAGGGAGAATGGGGCGGGGTGATGGAAAGAGGGAGAATGGGGCTGGGTGATGGGAAGAGGGAGAATGGGGCTGGGTGATGGAGGGGCTGGGTGATGGAAAGAGGGAGAATGGGGCTGGGTGATGGAAAGAGGGAGAATGGGGCGGGGCGATGGAAAGCGGGAGAATGGGGCGGGGCGATGGAAAGAGGGAGAATGAGGCGGGGTGATGGAAAGTGGGAGAATGGGGCGGGGTGATGGAAAGAGGGAGAATGGGGCGGGGCGATGGGAAGAGGCAGAATGGGGCGGGGCGATGGAAAGCGGGAGAATGGGGCGGGGTGATGGAAAGCGGGAGAATGGGGCGGGGTGATGGAAAGCGGGAGAATGGGGCGGGGTGATTGAAAGTGGGAGAATGGGGCGGGGTGATGGAAAGCGGGAGAATGGGGCGGGGTGATGGAAAGCGGGAGAATGGGGCGGGGTGATGGAAAGCAGGAGAATGGGGCGGGGAGATGCAAAGCAGGAGAATGGGGCGGGGTGATGGAAAGAGGGAGAATGGGGCGAACGGGGCAGGGTAATGGAAAGAGGGAGAATGGGGCTGGGTGATGGAAAGAGGGAGAATGGGGTGGGGTGATGGATAGAGGGAGAATGGGGCGAGGTGATGGAAATTGGGAGAATGGGGCGGGGTGATGGAAAGAGGGAGAATGGGGCGGGGTGATGGAAAGCGGGAGAATGGGGCTGGGTGATGGAAAGATGGAGAATGGGGCGGGGCAATGGAAAGCGGGAGAATGGGGCGGGGCGATGGAAAGATGGAGAATGGGGCGGGGCAATGGAAAGCGGGAGAATGGGGCGGGGCGATGGAAAGCGGGAGAATGGGGCGGGGTGATGGAAAGCGGGAGAATGGGGCTGGGTGATGGAAAGAGGGAGAATGGGGCGGGGTGATGTAAAGAGGGAGAATGGGGCGTGGTGATGGAAAGCGGGAGATCGCGGCGGGGTGATGGAAAGCGGGAGAACGGGGTGGGTGATGGAAAGCGGGAGAACCGGGCGGGGTGATGGAAAGCGGGAGAACGGGTCGGGGTGATGGAAAGCGGGAGAACGGGTCGGGGTGATGGAAAGCGGGAGAATGGGGCGGGGTGATGGAAAGCGGGAGAACGGGGCGGGGTGATGGAAAGGGGGGTTAATGGGGCGGGGTGATGGAAAGCGGGAGAATGGGGCGGGGTGATGGAAAGAGGGAAAATAGGGCGGGGTGATGGAAAGAGGGAGAATGGGGCGGGGTGATGGAAAGAGGGAGAAATGGGCTGGGTGATCAATGGAAAGAGGGAGAATAGGGCGGGGTGATGGAAAGAGGGAGAATGGGACCGGGTGATGGAAAGCGGTAGAATGGGGCAGGGTGATGGAAAGCAAGAGAATGGGGCGGGGTGATGGAAAGCGGGAAAATGGGGCGGGGTGATGGAAAGCGGGAGAATGGGGCGGGGTGATGGAAAGAGGGAGAATGGGGCAGGGTGATGGAAAGCGGGAGAATGGGGCTGGGTGATGGAAAGAGGGAGAATGGGGCAGGGTGATGGAAAGAGGGAGAATGGGGCTGGGTGATGGGAAGAGGGAGAATGGGGCTGGGTGATGGAGGGGCTGGGTGATGGAAAGCGGGAGAATGGGGCTGGGTGATGGAAAGAGGGAGAATGGGGCGGGGCGATGGAAAGCGGGAGAATGGGGCGGGGCGATGGAAAGATGGAGAATGGGGCGGGGCAATGGAAAGCGGGAGAATGGGGCGGGGCGATGGAAAGCGGGAGAATGGGGCGGGGTGATGGAAAGCGGGAGAATGGGGCTGGGTGATGGAAAGAGGGAGAATGGGGCGGGGTGATGTAAAGAGGGAGAATGGGGCGTGGTGATGGAAAGCGGGAGATCGCGGCGGGGTGATGGAAAGCGGGAGAACGGGGTGGGTGATGGAAAGCGGGAGAACCGGGCGGGGTGATGGAAAGCGGGAGAACGGGTCGGGGTGATGGAAAGCGGGAGAACGGGTCGGGGTGATGGAAAGCGGGAGAACGGGGCGGGGTGATGGAAAGCGGGAGAACGGGGCGGGGTGATGGAAAGGGGGGTTAATGGGGCGGGGTGATGGAAAGCGGGAGAATGGGGCGGGGTGATGGAAAGAGGGAAAATAGGGCGGGGTGATGGAAAGAGGGAGAATGGGGCGGGGTGATGGAAAGAGGGAGAATGGGGCGGGGTGATGGAAAGCGGGAGAATGGGGCTGGGTGATGGAAAGAGGGAGAATGGGGCGGGGCGATGGAAAGCGGGAGAATGGGGCGGGGCGATGGAAAGCGGGAGAATGGGGCGGGGTGATGGAAAGCGGGAGAATGGGGCTGGGTGATGGAAAGAGGGAGAATGGGGCGGGGTGATGGAAAGAGGGAGAATGGGGCTGGGTGATGGGAAGAGGGAGAATGGGGCTGGGTGATGGAGGGGCTGGGTGATGGAAAGAGGGAGAATGGGGCTGGGTGATGGAAAGAGGGAGAATGGGGCGGGGCGATGGAAAGCGGGAGAATGGGGCGGGGCGATGGAAAGAGGGAGAATGAGGCGGGGTGATGGAAAGTGGGAGAATGGGGCGGGGTGATGGAAAGAGGGAGAATGGGGCGGGGCGATGGGAAGAGGCAGAATGGGGCGGGGCGATGGAAAGCGGGAGAATGGGGCGGGGTGATAGAAAGCGGGAGAATGGGGCGGGGTGATGGAAAGCGGGAGAATGGGGCGGGGTGATTGAAAGTGGGAGAATGGGGCGGGGTGATGGAAAGCGGGAGAATGGGGCGGGGTGATGGAAAGCGGGAGAATGGGGCGGGGTGATGGAAAGCAGGAGAATGGGGCGGGGAGATGCAAAGCAGGAGAATGGGGCGGGGTGATGGAAAGAGGGAGAATGGGGCGGGGTGATGGAAAGAGGGAGAACGGGGCAGGGTAATGGAAAGAGGGAGAATGGGGCTGGGTGATGGAAAGAGGGAGAATGGGGTGGGGTGATGGATAGAGGGAGAATGGGGCGGGGTGATGGAAATTGGGAGAATGGGGCGGGGTGATGGAAAGAGGGAGAATGGGGCGGGGTGATGGAAAGCGGGTGAATGGGGCTGGGTGATGGAAAGATGGAGAATGGGGCGGGGCAATGGAAAGCGGGAGAATGGGGCGGGGCGATGGAAAGATGGAGAATGGGGCGGGGCAATGGAAAGCGGGAGAATGGGGCGGGGCGATGGAAAGCGGGAGAATGGGGCGGGGTGATGGAAAGCGGGAGAATGGGGCTGGGTGATGGAAAGAGGGAGAATGGGGCGGGGTGATGTAAAGAGGGAGAATGGGGCGTGGTGATGGAAAGCGGGAGATCGCGGCGGGGTGATGGAAAGCGGGAGAACGGGGTGGGTGATGGAAAGCGGGAGAACCGGGCGGGGTGATGGAAAGCGGGAGAACGGGTCGGGGTGATGGAAAGCGGGAGAACGGGTCGGGGTGATGGAAAGCGGGAGAATGGGGCGGGGTGATGGAAAGCGGGAGAACGGGGCGGGGTGATGGAAAGGGGGGTTAATGGGGCGGGGTGATGGAAAGCGGGAGAATGGGGCGGGGTGATGGAAAGAGGGAAAATAGGGCGGGGTGATGGAAAGAGGGAGAATGGGGCGGGGTGATGGAAAGAGGGAGAAATGGGCTGGGTGATCAATGGAAAGAGGGAGAATAGGGCGGGGTGATGGAAAGAGGGAGAATGGGACCGGGTGATGGAAAGCGGTAGAATGGGGCAGGGTGATGGAAAGCAAGAGAATGGGGCGGGGTGATGGAAAGCGGGAAAATGGGGCGGGGTGATGGAAAGCGGGAGAATGGGGCGGGGTGATGGAAAGAGGGAGAATGGGGCGGGGTGATGGAAAGCGGGAGAATGGGGCTGGGTGATGGAAAGAGGGAGAATGGGGCAGGGTGATGGAAAGAGGGAGAATGGGGCTGGGTGATGGGAAGAGGGAGAATGGGGCTGGGTGATGGAGGGGCTGGGTGATGGAAAGCGGGAGAATGGGGCTGGGTGATGGAAAGAGGGAGAATGGGGCGGGGCGATGGAAAGCGGGAGAATGGGGCGGGGCGATGGAAAGATGGAGAATGGGGCGGGGCAATGGAAAGCGGGAGAATGGGGCGGGGCGATGGAAAGCGGGAGAATGGGGCGGGGTGATGGAAAGCGGGAGAATGGGGCTGGGTGATGGAAAGAGGGAGAATGGGGCGGGGTGATGTAAAGAGGGAGAATGGGGCGTGGTGATGGAAAGCGGGAGATCGCGGCGGGGTGATGGAAAGCGGGAGAACGGGGTGGGTGATGGAAAGCGGGAGAACCGGGCGGGGTGATGGAAAGCGGGAGAACGGGTCGGGGTGATGGAAAGCGGGAGAACGGGTCGGGGTGATGGAAAGGGGGAGAACGGGGCGGGGTGATGGAAAGCGGGAGAACGGGGCGGGGTGATGGAAAGGGGGGTTAATGGGGCGGGGTGATGGAAAGCGGGAGAATGGGGCGGGGTGATGGAAAGAGGGAAAATAGGGCGGGGTGATGGAAAGAGGGAGAATGGGGCGGGGTGATGGAAAGAGGGAGAAATGGGCTGGGTGATCAATGGAAAGAGGGAGAATAGGGCGGGGTGATGGAAAGAGGGAGAATGGGACCGGGTGATGGAAAGTGGTAGAATGGGGCAGGGTGATGGAAAGCAAGAGAATGGGGCGGGGTGATGGAAAGCGGGAAAATGGGGCGGGGTGATGGAAAGCGGGAGAATGGGGCGGGGTGATGGAAAGAGGGAGAATGGGGCGGGGTGATGGAAAGCGGGAGAATGGGGCTGGGTGATGGAAAGAGGGAGAATGGGGCAGGGTGATGGAAAGAGGGAGAATGGGGCTGGGTGATGGGAAGAGGGAGAATGGGGCTGGGTGATGGAGGGGCTGGGTGATGGAAAGCGGGAGAATGGGGCTGGGTGATGGGAAGAGGGAGAATGGGGCGGGGTGATGGAAAGAGGGAGAATGGGGCTGGGTGATGGAAAGCGGGATAATGGGGCGGGGTGTTTGAAAGAAGGGGAATGGGGCTGGGTGATGGAAAGAGGGAGAATGGGGCGGGGTGATGGAAAGCGGGAGAATGGGGCGGGGTGATGGAAAGCGGGAAAACGGGGCGGGGTAATGGAAAGAGGGAGAACGGGGCGGGGTGTTGGAAAGATAGAGAATGGGGCGGGGTGATGGAAAGCGGGGGAATGGGGCGGGGCAATGGAAAGAGGGAGAATGGGACGGGGCGATGGAAAGCGAGAGAACGGGGCGGGGCGATGGAAAGAGGGAGAATGGGGCGGGGTGATGGAAAGAGGGAGAATGGGCGGGGTGATGGAAAGAGGGAGAATCGGGCGGGGTGATGGAAAGAGGGAGAATGGGGTTGGGTGATGGAAAGAGGGAGAATGGGGCGGGGTGATGGAAAGCGGGAGAATGGGGCGGGTGATGGAAAGCAGGAGAACGGGGCGGGGCGATGGAAAGCAGGAGAACGGGGCGGGGCGATTGAAAGAGGGAGAATGGGGCAGGGTGACGGAAAGCTGGAGAATGGGGCGGGGCGATGGAAAGAGGAAGAATGGGGCGGGGCGATGGAAAGAGGGAGAATGGGGCGGGGCGATGGAAAGAGGGAGAATGAGGCGGGGCGATGGAAGGAGGGAGAATGGGGCAGGGTGATGGAAAGAGGGAGAATGGGGCGGGGTGATGGAAAGTGGGAGAATGGGCGGGACGATGGAAAGCGGGAGAATGGGGCAGGGCGATGGAAAGCGGGAGAATGGGGCGGGGGTGATGGAAAGCAGGAGAAAAGGGCGGGGTGATGGAAAGAGGGAGAATGGGGCGGGGTGATGGAAAGCGGAAGAATGGGGCGGGGCGATGGAAAGCGGGAGAATGGGGCGGGGTGATGGAAAGAGGGAGAATGGGGCAGGGTGATGGAAAGAGGGAGAATGGGGCGGGGTGATGGAAAGAGGGAGAAATGGGCTGGGTGATGGAAAGAGGGAGAAATGGGCTCGCTGAGGGAAAGAGGGAGAATGGGGCGGGGTGATGGGAAGCGAGAGAATGGGGCGGGGTGATGGAAAGCGGGAGAATGGGGCGGGGTGATGGAAATCGGGAGAATGGGGCGGGGTGATGGAAAGAGGGAGAACGGGGCGGCGTGATGGAAAGCGGGAGAATGGGCTGGGTGATGGAAAGAGGGAGAATGGGGCGGGGTGATGTAAAGAGGGAGAATGGGGCGGGGTGATGGAAAGCGGGAGATCGCGGCGGGGTGATGTAAAGCGGGAGAACGGGGCGGGGGTGATGGAAAGCGGGAGAACAGGGCGGGGTGATGGAAAGCGGGAGAACGGGTCGGGGTGATGGAAAGCGGGAGAACGGGTCAGGGTGATAGAAAGCGGGAGAACGGGGCGGGTAATGGAAAGCTGGAGAACGGGGCGGGGTGATGGAAAGGGGGAGAATGGGGCGGGGTGATGGAAAGCGGGAGAATGGGGCGGGGTGATGGAAAGAGGGAAAATAGGGCGGGGTGATGGAAAGAGGGAGAATGAGGCGGGGTGATGGAAAGAGGGAGAAATGGGCTGGGTGATAAATGGAAAGAGGGAGAATAGGGCGGGGTGATGGAAAGAGGGAGAATGGGACCAGGTGATGGAAAGCGGGAGAATGGGGCAGGGTGATGGAAAGCAAGAGAATGGGGCGGGGTGATGGAAAGCGGGAAATGGTGCGGGGTGATGGAAAGCGGGAGAATGGGGCGGGGTGATGGAAAGAGGGAGAATGGGGCGGGGTGATGGAAAAGAGGGAGAATGGGGCGGGGTGATGGCAAGAGGGAGAATGGTGCGGGGTGATGGATGGGGCGGTGTGATGGAAAGAGGGACGAGGCGGAGTGATGGAAAGCAGGAGAATGGGGCTAGGTGATGGAATGAGGGAGAATGGGGCGGGGAGATGGAAAGCGGGAGAATGGGGCGGGGTGGAAAGAGGGAGAATGGGGCTGGGTGATGGAAAGAGGGAGAATGAGGCTGGGTGAAAAACGGGAGAATGGGGCAGGGTGATGGAAAGCGGGAGAATGGGGCGGGGTGATGGAAAGAGGGAGAATGGGGCAGCGTGATGGAAAGCGGGAGAATGGGGCGGGGTGATGGAAAGCGGGAGAATGGGGCTGGGTGATGAAAAGAGGGAGAATGGGGCAGGGTGATGGAAAGAGGGAGAATGGGGCTGGATGATGGAAAGAGGGAGAATGGGGCAGGGTGATGGAAAGAGGGAGAATGGGGCGAGGTGATGGAAAGCGGGAGAATGGGGCGGGGTGATGGAAAGCGGGAGAATGGGGCGGGGAGATGGAAAGCGGGAAAATAGGGCGGGGCGATGGAAAGAGGGAGAATGGGGCGGGGCGATGGAAAGAGGGAGAATGAAGCGGGGTGATGGAAAGCGGGAGAATTGGGCGGGGTGATGGAAAGAGGGAGAATGGGGCGGGGTGATGGAAAGAGGGAGAATGGGGCTGGGTGATGGAAAGAGGGAGAATGGGGCAAGGTGATGGAAAGAGGGAGAATAGGGCTGGGTGATGGAAAGAGGGAGAATGGGGCGGGGCGATGGAAAGCGGGAGAATGGGGGCGGGGCGATGGAAAGAGGGAGAATGAGGCGGGGTGATGGAAAGCGGGAGAATGGGGCGGGGTGATGGAAAGAGGGAGAATGGGGCGGGGCGATGGGAAGAGGCAGAATGGGGAGGGGTGATGGAAAGAGGGAGAATGGGGCGGGGTGATGGAAAGCGGGAGATTGGGGCGGAGCGATGGAAAGCGGGAGAATGGGGTGGGGCGATGGAAAGCGGGAGAATGGGGCGGGGTGATGGAAAGTGGGAGAATGGGGCGGGGCGATGGAAAGCGGGAGAATGGGGCGGGGTGATTGAAAGCGGGAGAATGGGGCGGGGTGATGGAAAGCGGGAGAATGGGGCGGGGTGATGAAAGCGGGAGAATGGGGCGGGGAGATGGAAAGCGGGAGAATGGGGCGGGGCGATGGAAAGAGGGAGAATGGGGGCGGGGTGATGGGAAGTGGGAGAATGGGGCGGGGTGATGGAAAGCGGAAGAATAGGGCGGGGTGATGGAATGCGGGAGAATGGGGCGGGGTGATGGAAAGCGGGAGAATGGGGCGGGTGATGGAAAGCAGGAGAACGGGGCGGGGCGATGGAAAGCGGGAGAACGGGGCGGGGCGATTGAAAGAGGGAGAATGGGGCAGGGTGATGGAAAGCTGGAGAATGGGGCGGGGCGATGGAAAAAGGGAGAATGGGCGGGGCGAAGGAAAGAGGGAGAATGGGCGGGGCGATGGAAAGAGGGAGAATGGAGCGGGGCGATGGAAGGAGGGAGAATGGGGCAGGGTGATGGAAAGAGGGAGAATGGGGCAGGGTGATGGAAAGTGGGAGAATGGGCGGGACGATGGAAAGCGGGAGAATGGGGCGGGGCGATGGAAGCGGGAGAATGGGGCGGGGTGATGGAAATCGGGAGAATGGGGCGGGGTGATGGAAAGAGGAAGAATGGGGCGGGGTGATGGAAAGCGGAAGAATGGGGCGGGGCGATGGAAAGCGGGAGAATGGGGCGAGGTGATGGAAAGAGGGAGAATGGGGCGGGGTGATGGAAAGAGGGAGAATGGGGCGGGGTGATGGAAAGAGGGAGAAATGGGCTGGTGATGGAAAGAGGGAGAAATGGGGTGGGTGAGGGAAAGAGGGAGAATGGGGCGGGGTGATGGGAAGCGAGAGAATGGGGCGGGGGATGGAAAGCGGGAGAATGGGCCGGGGTGATGGAAAGCGGGAGAATGGGTCGGGTGATAGAAAGAGGGAGAATGGGGCGGGGTGATGGAAAGAGGGAGAATGGGGCGGCGTGATGGAAAGCGGGAGAATCGGGCTGGGTGATGGAAATAGGGAGAATGGGGCGGGGTGATGAAAACGGGAGATCGCGGCGGGGTTTTGTAAAGCGGGAGAACGGGGCGGGGTGATGGAAAGCGGGAGAACAGGGCGGGGTGATGGAAAGCG